GTGCTAGGCTGCATTAACAGAGGGATAGAATCAAGATCACGTGAAGTGTTAATACCACTTTACAATGCCTTGGTAAGTCCACACTTGGAATACTGCATCCAGTTTTGGTCATCACGATGTAAAAAAGATGTTGAGACTCTAGAAAGAGTACAGAGAAGAGCAACAAAATGATTAGGGGACTGGAGGTTAAAGCATATAAGGAACAGTTGCTGGAACTGGGTATGTCTAGTTTAATGAAGAGAAGGACAAGGGGTGACGTGATAGCAGTGTTCCAATATCTCAGGGACTGCCACAAAGAAGAGGGAGTCAAGCTATTCTCCAAAGCACCTGAAGGTAGGACAAGAAGCAATGGATGGAAACTAACCAAAGAGAGAAGTAACCTAGAACTAAGGAAAAATTTTCTGACAGAACAAATTATCAATGGAACAATCTGCCTCCAGAAGCTGTGAATGCTCCAACACTGGAGATTGGACAGCCATTTTTCTGAAATGGTATACGGTTTCCTGCCTGAGCAGGGGGTTGGACTAGATGACTTCCAAGGTCCCTTCCAACTTTATTCTTATTATTGTTATTGTTGTTGTTATCAATTAATCTGGGTGGCTAGAAGCAGATGAACCAATAAAATAACCTTAGGTCAGTCACTCTTTATTTTAGCCCAAAAGCAGTGTCAGCGTCTGCCACAAGCCAGCTGAAGAATGACCCCCTTATTATATTATCCATGATTGTAAAATAGAATGACTGATTAAGCTAAGTGCACATAAAAGTAGTTTAACAAATATATTTACAGGTTAATAAATTTTTTTTAGACTAATGTGTAACAAGATTTTTAAAATAATAAAATTAAACTTGGCATGTTATTAGAAGTCATATGGGTAGTCCTCAACTTACCACCATTCATTTAACTAATGTTTGAAGTTATGATGGTGTTGAAGAAGTGATTTACAATCAGTCCTTGCAATTATGACTATTGCAACATCCCCATCATCACGTGGTCATGATTTGGGCGCTTGGCAATAGGCACGTACTTATGACAGTTGCAGCATCTTGAGGTCACATGATCACCATTTGCGACCTTCCCAGAGGACTTCTGATAAGCAAAATCAATAGGCAAAGTCAGATTTAATGATGGCAGCAAAAACATTGTAATATCAGGCATAGACATGTGATAATTCACTTAACAACTGCCTCACTTAGCAACAGAATTTCCAGTTCCAATTGTGGCCACAAGTCAAGGATTTCTCTAATATAGAAGGTCCCCTGGTTTTGCTCTCAATATCTCCTACTCAGGCAGAAAGTTAAAGATTTGGAGACTTGTGAATAAGCATAATTGCCCAAAAGAGACTTGGAAAACCATTGGGATAGATGGTACTGTAATTCCTTATACGGAAGTCAGACAAAAGAGCATTGACTTTATATCCTATCTCCTAGAACAGGGTTTGTCAACCACAATAACTTCAAGATGTTTGGACTTCAACCCCTCAGAGGTGGGCATTGGGGATCTAGGAGTTTGGGAATGATATACAATGAGAATATTCTGTATAGATCAAACAAAACAATAGAAATAATTTCACCATGCACTGAGTAAATAACAGAGTCGCAGCTGTAAGATACAACAGTGAAAAGCTTAAATGGCTTTTAAAAATGGGATTAAATAAATTTAGGGAAGACACATGCTGAATTCACACAGTTTACTGCATCAACATTTTTTCTAACCACTGCAGTTGAACAAAGCATACAGAGCTGGTTCCCATATAACATTAAGCCATAAATAATAGTTACAAGCCAAAAACGGTTTGGTTCACACATTATGTTAAACCAAAACCAAACACATGTTTTTCACAATGTTTGTACTCAACCAATGGTCCCCATATAAAGCTAATGCATAATGTGGTTTATTGGGTTTTTATTCATTTACTATAACTATTCACTATGGTATATAAACCATAGAGTTTGGGTGGGAAGGGGTGAGTCTGACAGTAAGCCAAAAAAACAAAATGCATTTTGGATTGGGACTAAATGAAACTCAGCTCCGATTATAATATTTCAAGAAGTTTTTTTCCAAAACTGGTTATGTTTTGAGATGGACAAAACAGTCTTAATGGGCTTGAAATTAGAATCAGGATTCTACCATTGTGTTTCCCTTCTGCCACGATAATTGAAAAGGAAATATCCAGATGTAGATGTACTACACTTTGTCCCTAATGACTCTTTACGGGAATAAGAAAGCCTGTCTCCACCTAATTTTCCTTGTGGGCTTCCTGTCCTCTTCAAGGAAATGTGACAAAACACTGTTTGCGGAGATCATCTTTGATCTGACTGCATAAAGGCATTTTTATAAAGTTTATGTTTTCTGCACGTCCATAGTAGTTTGAATTGACCACATAGGCAGTATTTAACTCAACTGATCCTGAAAGATCACATGAGGAGCAGACTTATTTTACAATCCCAGCAGAAATTATAAAAAAGATTCACTCCTTTGAAAGGCACTTACTTCCCAAATGGGATCTGCAATCTTGCATATTCAAGATAGTCAGAGACCTTGGTTGTCAGTCAGAAAGAAGACTAGCAATTATAGCAGGTAATAATTCTGAAGGATCTCATGTGATATACATTATAAAATTAAGTTAACCATTTGTGAAACTTAATTGATGTTTTAAAAGGAAAGTTATATCACTGATAAAACTGGATTTTTAAAAACTACAAGCGAAGAAATGTGTGTAATCTAGAAACATGCTACTTATTCACTGTTTGCATATCACATACATCTTAAACTGTTCCAGTGCTTTCAAGTTCCCAGAAAAATAAAACCTTGGAATGCTTTAAAAAAAAATTAAAAATAGAACTTCTACAAATTAAGAACATCAAGATCTCTGCTCCAACTCTGTCCTCAGCCACAAACCCTGTTTCTCACCCTCACTTGCAATATGCTAAGGATACCATGGTAAGACTTTGAACTTGAAGCAGTTTGTGAATGAACATGCTACATAAAGTATAAGGATTCCCATCACTTTTATTAATATTCTACAATAAGAAAGCCATGATTACAAATGTTCATACCATTCAAGAGTTCTTTTCAGCCAAGGACCTCAAGTATTGAAACTGAACAAAGTTGTAAAGCTGGGGGAATTAAACACAGATCCAAACACAGATGCAAACATACACCCGACGTGCTCTTTCCCTTCCTGCCTGGTGTCTGAAGTCAAACCAGCTGTTAATTTCTTTACATGGATGACTGCTTCCCTCTTTACAGATTTACTTTTATGACTGACAGCAAAGTACCTGACCACAAGTTAGAGTTCTTTTTTCTAATACAAACTGAGGCTGGTAACCATCACTGCTTCCACACAGCTGCAGACCATCTTATGTGGGTTTAGCTGCCAACCTATTTTTTCCCTTAAGTGTTAAACCCATTTCACAGCTGCCACGCAAGCCACCTGTAGGACCTGGTCAGGCCTAATACCACATTTTAACACTAGACATGCAAAAAAAAAAAAAAAGTATCCAAACTGCTGCTTAGTCTAAAACCCCACAGGACTAGATATCCCAATTCTGAAACCTGGGCATGAAAAAATATGTGAGAGCCATGGCTCCAATTTCACACCCACAAGGCTGCTCAGACACTGCAAAAACACAGACCAAGTTGGAAACATCCTCTTGAAAGCTAAGCCAAGGTTTTGTTTTTCCACCCACAGGTCGACCAACCACTGGTAGTTTGGCAAGAAAGACATCACTGGCTCTGTCTTTTATTTTGACTCCAAGGTTTCCTACAAAGGCCAAAAACTTTATGGCAGAGAAGTGGCACAACCAGAGCTATTTCTACAGCATTTTGAATTTTAAATGTGAAAGAGAAGGAATCACATAAACAGACCCTTTGCACAAGAAGTATAATGGGGAGGGGGAGGATCCGGAATTCCTTTGCCAATAATATGAAGCACAAAATTTCACTTGGAAGCAGCAGAATTGCCAGCCACACCCACACGTGGCACTGAAGAACAGATCGATAATTTCTTTCACGATCTGAAAGGAAAGAAACTTTGGGAACTGCTCAAAGAAAAGAAACGGGGAGTCTCCCTCTCCTCTGCTTTCCTTCACTCTGTGGAGATAGGACTCTGAAAAGTACTGTCAAAACATTTGTGGTGCAATCCTGTCTATGCCTACCCCAGAATGTGGCTGCCACTGTAAAGTTGCCACTTAATCAGCAGAGAGTTCAGGGCAAACCAGCAGCTCAAACCTTGGATGTCTCTCTACTGAGAGAATCTCACTATATTCACACATCAAGAACAGTGAAGAGGCCAACAGGCCAAAGGAAGAACAGGGGTGCCTGGTGACAAGAATATTAGATTCTGTAGGCAAAATCTCCACCTCCAGTTGGCCAGATTAACTCTTGCAACAGACGGCAGCAGGGGGTGAGGGCAGCCCCATGACAGCTGAATAGGAAGACTGAAAGCAACAGTTAAGATTTATTAAGAAACTGCCCAAAGAGTATGGAACAGAAATAAAGTAATGCAATCTTCACTGTCCCCCACACTGGAACCTCTGAACAGCTACATCCATCAAAATAAGTTTGAGGAATAATTACAACTTCAGGAAACTATCAGCAACTGCAAATTGCCCCAGAAAGATCTTTCAGAAACCTACAATGTCCTCTGATGTGAAATGCTATTCAGGAAACTGGGAAGATGGGTACACTGAGGTGAAAGGAGATAAAGAAAAGCAACCCCATTCAACTTCAAACAGGTACTGTATGGGGCACAAACAGAGAGCGGGGAAGGAGGAGGAAAAGGAATGGGGAGCTGCAATGTAATCCTAGACTTCGATCGGAATCTAGAAGGAACAAAACAAAACAAAAAGGACAGAGACTTTTCTTCTCCAGCCGTTAAGTTAACGTACAGAGAACGAAGAAAAATAAAGACAACTCTCCGTTTCTCCCGTTGCTTTCCTAACACATATCCAGAATAAAGTCGGCAAAAAGAAGAGGCGCAGGTAATCAAAACTCTTACCTGGAAAGCAGGTTCCCTCTCCCTCTCTCTGTTTCTAGGGCATGCACAAAACTCTCGCCAATCTCCCCCCCCCCCACCAAGCCAGTCTTGTTTTCACGAAGACAGAGATACACGCTCAAGGGTCCCAGCTCTGCAAATCCACACCGAACGGCTGCCTGACCCGAATGGGACGGAGGGGAAGGAGGGAGGAGAGAACGCAACGTTGCGCTAGCCAGCGCGCGCGCCCCAGCGCTCAGCAGCCATTAAAGCCAGTCATGTGCTTCAGTGAAACTTTACACTGGAACCGAGTTGGGGAGGGACTGGGGGGAAGCGAGACAGAGAGAATGAACGAGGAGACGGAGGTGGGCCAAGCCACGCCCATTTCCCTTTTCCCAGCCAATAGATTCTGCTGCGGGGTCGTGGAGGAGGAGGGGGTCGGAACGAGGAAAAGAACGGGGAAAGCTCTACCCTCGGTCGTTACAGAAGTAACCCTTTGAAGTCTCTGCCTTTAATGGAACTGGGCAAGGGAAACTTTCGGTCCTCCCTTCGGAAACAGCACTCACACATTGCAGTGACCCCGGCTTGTAAAGGCTCAACGGGCACTTAATTGAAAGTCAGCCCCACTTAGAATGTAACCCTGCATAGGGCAATCTGCAGTTTCTATTGAAAGCAAATTGAGACTTTCCCCACACCGACGTACGTATTAGTATTATTCGAGAAACTCTGCTGAGGATTTCATCTGGTATTCCGTTCAGGTCATCGCGGGCTAAGAAACCTTATATATTGCTCGGGAGCATCACATTTACTCCCGGTCTGTGTGCGCATCTTAAAAGGTGGTTCCTGAGAAAATAGGATGCCGGGGCCAAAAGTTGACGCTTGCAATAAGAAACGGAGTTGCAAGTCTGAAATTCCCTCGTTCGGTTCTCCATCACGGATTCCTTGTGTGATTCTCAACAAGCCTCTGTCTCCTGCAACGTGGGGAATAACCACAGGCCTAGTTTATAGTTAGCATAAAGACTATAACGAGTTATGGGGAGCATCATGAAAAGTGGACTCCAATCCATAGCTGTTTAGAAATAAATCCCATTTTATTCAAATCAATTCACTGTTTTTGAAAGCCTTATCTAGTACTTTTTTTTTTCAGGCAAAGGACAACTTTTGGCTTTTTCTGGTGTGCTGGGAGCCATGCTTCCCTCTGCACTCACAAAACGTGATGGGGCTAAGAAAAAAATGTATTTGATTTAATTGATATGTAATTAAAAGTATACACTGTTAACATGATCACTCTCGGGTCCTGTTTTAAAATCTTTTCTCTGTTATGAGTACTTGATTTCTAGCCTGCTTTTCATGGGAGGGGGGGGATGGGTTTCCATAGAAAACTGCTGCAATATAACTTGCAGACTTTAACATTACAGTTTTGTGGTAAACTTGGTGAACTTTGGAGGCTGCACCAGGGCTTTGGGGAAGTTGCCCCCTGTAGTGAATATGACTGCAGCTTAGAGGTACCAAGACAGATGGAAAGAAACAGTGATAGGCCAATCACACTTGCAAGGGAAGAGAAGGGAGGAAGAGCAGCTTCTTTGGGGGGGTTGTCTTAAAGCCTTCCCCCCCCATGCGATGCAGGGCTGACCCAAAACTCAGAATTGGAATTCAAGATTCAGCTCTTGATTTCACACTGTGAATTCAATATGGTTTTCCCAATCATTAATTGTTAAATGAAAACATTTGTCCTTTTCTTCCAGCATAGTTTTATTATTGCTAATTCGATAAATAATTTTAAAATGTTTTATTATCCCGGTGGTTCTCAAACAGTTTGACTTCAGAACTCATTTATGTTCTTATAAATTATTGGGAACCCCAAAGAGCTTATGTTTATGTGGGTTATATCCATCAATGTTTACTGTATTAGAAATAAAACTGAGTAAATTTTAAATGTGTATGCTCTTTGATCATACAGAGTCTTTGAAAGGGTCTTGGGCCCAGACTGCCCTTTGAAAACTTCTGCGTTATAAGATACATGGAAAAATAACCATAGAATAACATAGTTGCCATGTCCAAAGATTATGACAGTCTCTGTCAACCTGTTGCCTCTAGATGTATTAACCTCCAAAATTCTGATAACTGAAAGCTCTATAATCTATTTCTAGAGAGCATCAATAGGAAAAATAGACTGATTAGGCTTAAAATGTGGCTTTTATGTAATTCTTTATTTTCATGAGGAAGTATAATTCTATACAATCTCTATTTAGAAATAAATCTCAAATTTAATGGAATTTATTTGAGGCTAAATGTGTAAAACACTTGGGGTGTGCTAAATTCCTTTATTACATCTTAGTTTAGATTAGATATGGAGAGGAATATACTTATATAAATTAATAAATACATCAGAATGTTGCCTTAAAGTGGACACTCTTTTGAAAATTGTTTATTATCTAGAGGTCCCAGAAAAATACAATCGAGTAATTTACCATCGGATCATAGCTAGAAGACATATATCTGTCAATACAATTTCCATTTTTATTGATTTCCATCTTTAACTAATTTCAAAAAATTAAGCAGGATTGGAATCGGTAGTTGTTTGATTGGACAATACTAAAGAAAGTTTTTTTTTAATTCAGTATATTGAGAAGCAATATCTTCTAACCAATTCTCCATCTGGCCTCCCAAACACACACATATACATACATGTATACAGTGGCAATGGCTGCATTTCACCTTGACAAACTTGCTCTTCATTTATATTAATTGCCAAAAAGAGACCAAGGAACAGATGTGAGGCTGAGGAGAAGTAAGATGAAAAACGTCCCGTCTCCACTTAGCCCAGTCTTGATATATCTCTTGATGCTAGGCAAATATTTCTAGGTATCAGGACTGGGGAAAGAGAGAATGGGCTAAGTTACCTTGAAATAGACAACATGCAATTTAATAAGGATCAGCAAAGTTTTTACAAGATTGCAGGGACTGTGTTGTTGGGAGGGAATTTTCATTTGGGGTTCCATCGGGGCAATGAAATGGATCTGCCTGTATATGAGTTAAAGTGACTGAGTGCTAAGATCTTTATTTTCCTTTTTGTCTAATGCTGGGTAGAAATTTAATAGGTTTCAAACAATATAGCAAGAATCAATGTGGAATCCAATATTTTAGCCAAGAGAATACAAACAAGACTGCCAAAATTTGGTGTTGAGTTAATCAACAGGAAGCAACAGTCTATATTTTTATACTGTACACCATGCAGAATCATTTATTCATGAGATGGGTAGCCACATAAATTTGGTGAGTAAATCAGTAAATAACAAATTCTCTGCTGGACTACATGTTCAACAGTTATAAGAGAAAATGCTTCTAACCTTATTGCTTAATTTTAGCACTCAATATTTAATGACGGGGTCAGACCTGGTTAATAATTTGGAGAAGAAACCACCAGGAATTCCCAGATTTGTAAACCAGATTGGATTTTTTTTTTTTTTAAAAAAAAAAAGTATTTTGGAAGAAGGCATTGCAAACCATTTTTACCCTGTTGTCAGAAGATTACCTGGGCATGGAGCATGAAAGATCTTTTCCTTTTTACCTAATGGAAATAACCCACATTTCCTTTTTAACATTGGCTTTGCTTTGTTTATGTCACAGAGCAATTTCAAGCATACCATGTGTTAATGTGGTATCATTCCATCCTCTTTTTTAGGATCCAACTCAGAATCATGCCCTTATTTTCTCTCCTACTTCTGCTCCATGGAGAAATGAGCAAGATCAATACAATTATCATCCATGGTGTTTGTAGTAAACAGTATTTGCTTCTCTTGTTTAGCTAACTCAGAATCCAATTGCTTCCTGCATATTAGCCACTCAGCTTCAGGGACCAAGAAACAATCGGCATTTGTGGAAGGCCACTGAGTTTGTCACATGGATGGCACAACAGTCAGCCTTGGGTTCAGAATAGATGTGGGGAAATAACTCATTTCAATCCAAGGAAGCTTCAGAAAGTTTTCATTAATAAAGAGCTTGCTATAATCAGTGTTGGGAGTTCTGTACACTAACATGCTTGAACGATCTACAATTTTAAATCAGGCATTTGAGTTTTTATTCCTAACTTGCCTAGAATATAGCTCTGAGCCTGCAATCTCTTCAAAATCTAACCCTTCTTTAAATACTAATGCTATATTTTAATTTCCTTTTGAGAGCACTTTCCTGGAACCATTTAACAAGAATTATCTAAATAATCAGATAACTAGAAAACATTTTGCAGTTCTGTTTCTTAAATCAGAAGTCCTAAACCAGTGTTTCTCAACCTTGACAATTTTAAGGCATGTGGACTTCAACTCCCAGAATTCCATAGCCAACATTGCTGGCTGTGGAATTCTGGGAGTTGAAGTCCGCATGCCTTAAAATTGTCAAGGTTGAGAAACACTGTCCTAAACTGACATACCCCAACTGATTTCAGAGAAGTATCTGTTTGAATCTGTTGCTGAAAGAAAAAAAACACTAGGATGAGTGTTATGGTACCTCTGTGTAAATGTATTGTGGCAAAACAGAGAATCCCTCAGTTGATATTCCACAATAGAGAAATACTAATTGCTTCAACAACCATTTCTATCATAATGCTCTTACACTGTGATTTCTTCTCCACAGCAACAAATTAATAATATTAGTTTATCTAATAAAGAAACGTGAATGGGCAATTTCCACCTGACTTCTTTAAACCTCTTCAAATCATCATTTCAACTCTTCTGAGGCTGATAGGCTACAATTCCTGAAAATCCATTCCTCATGTAGCGTATTATCTGCCAAATGATAATGAATGAAACCCAGGACATGTTTCTCATGTCCACTGCTGAATTGCCTGACTTTAATTTGAACCCTTTCAAATGGTTTAATTATTTTCCTGGATGTTGACCAAAATCTCAGCCCACCAGACTGCCCAATTTTTCAGAGAGAAGGAATACTTTTCCTTCTGCAAATTAAAAAATCCTGCTTGCCCTTCACCCTATCCCATCCCAGCAAGCTGGCTGTCAGTCTTGATGGAGCCCAGCCTTCAAGACTGGTCCCAGCCAAGCTGGGAGAGAGCAGCAGATTTATCTTTCCTACAAAGCAGAAAGCCTTTGGGACTCTTTGAAGCTAGCAAAGGGGCCTAGGCAGAGGGCAGCTGGCTGAAGTGCAGCTCTGTGGAGTGGATACTCCCCCACCAACAGCTTATTCCGCCCCATCCAGATTGCAAAGAATCTTCCTTTTAAAAATATGCTATACATATTCAATTAATTGTCCCAAAACTTTGAACTGAAAACAATAAAAACTGAGTAATAATA